GAGTCCATTTGCGCTGCCATGTGCGGTAGTTGTATATCTTGTCGCCCAATGTGGCGCTGCGAGTTTCCACAACCCTGATCTTCGGAATGAAAAGAGAAGGGAACAAATCCCGATGAGAAGCAATCCAGCTTTGTAACCATGTGCCAAGTAGAGCTTTCCAATTCCGGACATGTAGCGGCGGTAAGAGTAGCTGTGTCAAAGTGGTGGGTGGTTGTAGCCGTCGTTTGCGCAGCACCTGGGCGAGGAGTTTCTGCGCCTTGGAGCGGAAGGGCTCGTTGACAAAGACTGCGAGCCGCAATAAGTAATACAGCTGAGTGGGAGGGAAAGCCGCCGACAGTAGGTCACGCATGACTTGGAACGACGCTCCTGTATTAGATCCCAGCTGATAGAGAATCGAGTAATGGGCTTGGACGTCATCCTGGATGTCAGGTCGTAGTTGCCGTTGGAGATCCGGATGTAGTCGTCGTCGAAAGCGCTTGTGCAAGCCGAGGGAAGTGGGAGACGACAGCGAGTGGCGTCGAAAATCCACAAGATGTTCCCGGAAGCCCACCTTGCGCAAGATTCTGTGTACCCAGGGCGCATTCAAATGCGGGCGTAGCAGGTATTGCCATTTGCTTTCTTGAACCCACACCGAGGAAACTGGTAGTTTGATTTCCACTGGTATAGCACAGAAGAGCCAGTAAGTATTGGATCTTTTCCAGTAGTGAAGCGCTGGTTCAAAGAAGGCATGCCGTCCACGAAGTAGTTGTAGAAATTTGCGACTGCGTGAGTGTTCACGACGTAGAACATCCTGATCAGTCGCCCCAACATAGTATGGTGTGTGCCATGGGGAAAGTCGAATGTAGACGCACGGTTGTTGGTGATGACCTGGATCATGTATGAAGTCATAGAGGTCAGGAAGTCGCGCCCGCAATGAGCGTAGATGCCGCGTGTCAGCGAAAGTAGAGTGCATGATTTCACACAAGAGAGAAGTCTTGTAGAAGTGCAGGACTTCAAAGAACGGTGGGAAGTAGCCGTGATCTTGTGAAATGAGACGTTGTAAGAAACTAATCAATAAATAGGCAGTGCACCGACATCTGTGAAGCTCGTACCTGTTGGCCACGGTGTGATGAGAGTTTGACATAGCGTGATTCGGAATCTGAAGGGCTATCCGGACCACAACTAAGACCTCGAGGATGAGACCCAGCCACGGCAATTGTGTGATGGATTCGTACTCCTCCGTTGGAATCGACGGTGGTGGTAGTCCAGGAAAACAGTACTGCCAGCACGTAGAGAATATGGTCAACGAGTGCAGAAGGTCGTCCAGCGACTGCCATTGTGCAACATCATCATAGATTCCGCAGCGGCGAAGTTCATCCAACATGGTGAGATGCAACCAACGAAATCTACCACAAGGCGGCGACATGAATACAAGCATCACAGACAATCACACAAGAGACAATGCAAGAACGAGCAAGTACAAGATCAATCTGGTGCAACGCAGACACTTGACGGACGAGTTTTCACCTGGACTCATCCGTGACATTGTTGCCGCTCCGGGCTCATATGAGAACGAAGGTCATCATGATGCCTTCTCATCCACACAGTAGACGAGCCGTCACGATGAGGTGACTCAATGCCTTCTCAGTGAGTTTGGTAAGATAGCCGGGTTCTAATCCCCACGAAGCTGCCATTGCCCCGAGCGTGGGCGCGTCGCCTTTCGGCATGCGTTGCCGCGCCTGAAGGAGCTGCGTCGCCATAGAATCTAATGACTTGTTGCCGTTGAGCCGGGTCGGGTGATTGGCCCACTTAACCAGCGATGCCAAAGTGGTTGTTGTGGGTGATTGCTTGAGAAAAAGGCGAGGTTGGTCACTGGTCCATGTGTAGTACTTGACAACTTCATCCGGCGTGCTGTTCATGGTGAGCAATTGTGACGCCGCCGGTTTGGACGGCGGTGACGACACTCCGTGAAGAGACTGGATGATCCGAGGTTGCACCACGCTATCAAACGACTTGCCATCCAGGGCGGCTGCGCTGGCTGTGGGAAGGGAGCTGGCAGGTGACGAGGATGGTGTGTGGTTGACCGGTGGCGGTGTAACCAACTCTGCATCATCCTTCTGGTTTGTCATCGTGGGAGAGGTCGATGCGCGAAGTGATGCGGAATACTGAGCTTGGAGAAGTTCGTGGGCACGATTCAAATCATTGAACTTTTTGACCATGTCCTCGGTCTGGGCGGCAGGTGCGAGAGAGGTGTGATGCTGTTGAAGAAATTGAAGCACCAAGTTGGCCAAATGGTCATGGACCTTGATGCGCTGATTGAAGTCATCGATGTTGAGACCCAGCGTGTTGGCAAGGTCCT